TATATTTATATATATATAATGCGTGTACATTCGTATGAAACTGCAGTTCCCTAAAGCGAGAATACACAATCGTTTAAATGAATAAACGAGAACATATGTTAAAGATGTTTACGTGCAAGGCAATCGAACGTAACTCTTAATCGTTCACAGCATAACGTAATAAACTTATAGAATATGATCAATTACATGATAAATTGCATAATTTATATTATAATCGAAGATATTCATTGCTCTTATCTAAAACCAATGCGACACACTTTCATGTTCATAATCTTTTAGAATACATAAATTCCACATCGTGAGTGCCGTTGTCGACCTATCAAATACAAATTGAAAATTCTTTATTTGTTCTTCTTCTTCTTCAAGTATTGATATTATGCAAATGTGATAGATACATCGTACATTATCGTTCCATCCAATGGTTCGGATCTGTTTGAAATCTATCATCAGTCAGCATAGAACTCAACATCATCAACTGATGCTGGTATATTGTTTGTTCATTCATCTTTAACGTTCACTGATTGTCGCGTAGATAGATATGTCACAAATCGTTTCGATCTTACGAAATCATGATGAAACTGATCATCATGCGTATTCCTTATGATATCCTATAGTCAAGTATGCGAAGTTTGAAAGGAATGACTCAAAATTTGGGTTATATAATCTGTTGTTGTGTATTTTGTCTATAGTCATAAAAGTACTCTATTTTTCTGTACCATATAATCACATACTCATAATAAATCTCAATCTGTTTATCCTTGTCGTATTTGTCTGAATTCGTTCATCTCCTTTCATCTCGGATAATATATCGATCATGTGCTGATAGACAGGGCACATTTAAGTTAGATTGGATACGGCAATTGGATATTTTGTGGAATCATTCGATTGGTGCTCAGACCTGATCTCATTATCTGTTTCGTTACGTTCCGTAATCTTTTATTTATTTGGACATTATTCATGCATATTCTTCACTTTTGATTCTTTTTTCTGACTTATTCATGTGTGATCATCCCTTCATTTTACTGGTCAGCAACACATTCTACACTAAACTGATTCATCCATCTGTATCCCATCAATCGTGGATATATGACATCGTCTCAGCGTTTTCATTTCACTCTTATTTTTCATCTCCTTTCGATCGATTAATCATGTATTTCACAATTCTAACGATCGTTACAAGGTTTGTTATCAATTGAAAATTTTGCCTGCTTTCTAACGGAACTTTTTTTGCTAAAGACATAAAGACATATTTACCTATTTCCCTATTCCATCCCATGCTTCCACTACTGAAAATGTTAAACGCGTTCATTATCTTCTGGTTTAAGCTAGAAGGTATTCTATGACATTTTGAGTGGGCCAAACCCGAAAAGTCCCTCAATTCAGGTGTTGCAATAGCGAGAGATAACTGGAATCAAATACTTGTTACTTTTATTGGATAGTACTTATTGCTGTATTATCCATGTCTAGTTGATAAGTAGACGTGGATAATATGAGAATAGGGACAAGGTGTAAAAAAGCAGAGAAAGAACCTGAATAGGTTGCAATTTGAACTAATCTACTTGGCTTGAATGATTTATGAAAATCGCTGTTAAAACTTCTCTTACCATAATTCGTTTTCCGTCTTCCAAATTGTAATATCTTGCATTTACTGTTCATATAATAGTGATATTTCGTCTTCAGACCTCAAAAACATATGAAATTCGCTGATGTAGACCGATCATCCGACTGTCTGCTACATTTTCTGATCAAATAATTTCGTTTGAAATAAAATTTTTCATGTTGCGTTATTTCATTTCATAAGAATACACCAACCGTTGTCGCACATTTGTCTACCAAGCGACTCAAATTTATTGAGGCATGAAATTGATGAATGATGAATGAAGAATGTGATTTTTACGAAAATTAATAATCGGTTGAATCATATATCTATGATACATCTTCAATTGATTAATAGACCATAATCGCAGAAATTATATCCACAGTACCACGTTTTCGTCGTCATTACTTAACAAATATGAATTTCAAGATTCGTAATTCTGAAGTTGTGTTTGAGCGAAAATAATTATGTGAAACTGACAATAATAGGAAACCTTACTGGTCATTAAACGATCAGTTTTTATGAAAGACTGAAAAAAGGCGAACGAATAATTTGATTTTCGTTTATTCATTTTATTTATTCATTATCAACTGAAATGGATTTTGCGATATTTTTTCATGAAACTGTTCATAGTGAAACTAAAAATTGAATCAGAATCAATTGTTTCACAATTTATGCGCAAAATTTAATTCGTTCTGTTATCATCGACAGAACTTGGGAAAGGTGAATAATGAGAGGAATATTCGTATGTTCTCACTGCTCCACTTGAATCTGTCGTTGTTGCACGATTCGAATATTGTTCCTTCATTCTAAAGCTGGGAAAGAACAGATTTTTTCGACGGCCACCCACCCAACTCTACTTCATTGACAATTGCAAACCGTTATATTCGTTGACTGCGTTCATTCATACGTTCATCGATTAGCTCGAAAATAGATGTGCGGTGATGAGTAAATCATGCATCAAGGGTATTTAAATTGCAGATGCGACTCTTAACCGTTTTAGCACTGCTTGTCTACGCTGAAGCACATGAGCATTCGTTCATTGATGTCAAGAAAGTGATCAGGGTCAGTGCTTATCATTCTTGCCTTACCTAGTCACTAACATTCTGAATGATTTAATGCAGCAATTCAAAGAACTCGAAACATTGAATAGCTGTTGCTATCGATGAGCATATCATGATGAAGTTTAGACCATACAGTAAAAATGATCATTCAGCAGAATCATAGATAGCTACATTACAGGACGCGTTAGATGTGGTGGCATCAATGCCAACCAATACGCCTCAAAGCTCAAATGATGTTGCTCAGCAACAACCACCGCAGTCGTTACTAGCTGATGAAGCACGACGTCAGCTGTCGCGAATTTTCCATGTACCATCTGACTTTGTACACAGACTAGCTGCACAAAGTGGTTATTTGGATTATGATCCATCTTCAACAACTTCAACAACTATGAAACCTTGGTTAAACACATTTCCACCAGAGTTAGTCGTTTAGCTGTTCATACGAATACTACATAGTATCATTCTCTAGCAGCTCACCTCATATCATTTTTATCAGTCGCCCAAACACATCCTAATCATCAGGTTTCGATTTTTGACCGCGAAAGCATCGAGCACTGTTGCCAGTGAAGCTTCTTCAACAAAGAAGACGTCAGTGCTGAACGAGGAAACATCAACCTCCAATATTGCTTCAACTTATGACAAAAATCATGAAGAAGTAGCGTTCGTTCAGGTAAGGTTCCTCGTTGAAGAATTAACGAGTGGCAACAAATTGATCGTTAATTGAATTATGCACCAAATAATTGAATAAGACGAAACAGTATGAATTATTAAGCTGTAGCATTAGATTAAGTATTCAGTGAAGGTTTGGAGGATAGATGTCAATAAACTGCATGTATACTCCATAGTTACGTTCCACAGTAAGCATCAGCGTCGCAAAAAATGCACTCCTCTTCAGCATGATTAAGGCTTAGGGTTCAACCTTGGTTGAGGTTCAAGGTTGAAACGGAAAACCTAAAGGAACCTAGACCTAAAGGCTTAGGTTTAACCTTAGGCTAGCACTTGGGTTCGAAATCATTAGCGTTACACTTTCACGTGAACTCAAGACTTCAGATAATTTTTCATCCAGTAATAAGTGGCTCTGTTCGAGCTCAAATCTCGGAACATTTTGGAGGACCCTGTCATTACGCTTTACTTGTATCGGTTGATAGAGATTTGGCCGCTGTATACGGTAGAAATCGAGACCATCCACTTTTCTATCGTATGGAAGAGAAACGCACTGGCCAACTATGCCATTCAAACTTGCAGTGTCGATGATGGCAAATAATACGAGTTTCAGGAAACTGAAGAGCCGACAACGTCATCACCATCGCCTCAGCAGTCAACAACCAAACCAGTTAGGTTAGTGGCTGCGAATGAGCTCTTAATTTGATCTGATTTAAATAGTAAACTACAATTTAAGCTTATTGATACCGAATTCAGAACGGGAGCACACTGCAAAAATAAACTTTTGAAAGAATTGACCTTAGAGAATTAAGGCTAATCGCAGAAAAATGGATGTATGCTTCCGCGAAGATAGGATTCCTTTGAATTGCCGTAGTTCAGTGTTATCATTATCATTATTTCAGTACTACTACTTCACAGCAACTCATTCCTTTGCTACTAGCACCGGTACAAACCCAAGGCAATGCACTCAAATCAGCACAAAACGAACAAATCAGTTCACGAAGCAATCAGCCTATGTACGTTGTTCATTACCTTTTTTTTATCTTTCTTCTTAACTTCGCCTAAATTAATTCCACAAGCATTTTGATCATTTTCTTTTTCGAATTTTCACGATATGGATCAATAGTTTAATTTTCATTTCTTCTTTGCAGCTATTATCAGCCAATTGTATTAGCACCGAGCCAACTTTCTCAACAGTTTCTGCCACAAATTATTAATTCCAATGGCCAAACTTATTACTTAGCTCTACCTCAAGCGCAACTGCAACCTCCACAACCAATCGCATACGTACCTTTATCAAGCAATTCCGTAAGTCGAATCTCGCAATCTAAATGATGTGAATGCTTACTGAAACTTTTTGCTTCGCTAGTTCAACGTAATGCTCAAGAATAAAATTTGAATTTATTCACAGAATAAATCTTAATTGTAATTTGTAAATGTTCATTACAAACTTTCTTCGATCGCAATAAACTTTTGTCATTGTTTTTATTTTCAGAATCTCGCACCTATTCTTCAGAAAGCCTCCCCGACTTTCGTCTTACCTAGTAACGGTAGTCCTATCGTTACCAATATTCAAACTGCTCAGGTACCTTTCATAGTATCACTCAGTGGATTCACAATTCGTTGAATTTTCATGTGAAACTCGATTTGTGCAATCGTATCCATCGCTATTTTATGCTCATATTTTCAGTAAATCAGTCCGAAATTGACGGAATCCGCAAAATGCACCTGAAAGTACTTAAAAATATTACTGATGCAAACTCATAGCCATACAAAAAAATCGCTCGAGAAACCAGAAAATATCGCCTTTTCTAATGGGCTGTGAACGATACAAATGAATGCGTCGTTATAGAATGCACCCACCGACTCTGATAAATGGTCAGTTGAAGTTCCACAGACCGAACGACAAGTCGTTTTCGAAAGTGAAGCCAAGCTGCATTTACCCCGTCAAATCGATTCGTTCGTTACTGGTGATGATGGGAAAGAATCTAGCGATGATACTTCCAGAATCGAGAAACACTCAACGTTTTCACACATAGAGAAAAATGATATGATTCATAATCAGCAAAGCCAAATGGTTCGTTCTTTGTCGTTTCCTATGATCCACTCATCCATGTTTTGAAATACCTAGATATTTTTGACGTGCCTTCAACAAGATCAGCGCAGAAATAATCAACTCACTTTAGGTGACATTCGTCGACAAAAACAACTCTAGAATCCCCTCAAGCTTACCGCCATTTTTAGCAGTTTCTAGTCCAAGAGGTGATGCTAAGCAATTATCATCATCAGCATCCTTATTTGGCATAACATCACTGCAAAAACAACACAGTCTTAAGCGAAAGAGTATTGTGTTTTACAGCAAAAGATTCGAGAAATGAATGACAACGTTAGAAAGCAACAAAATCTTTCGCAGAAAACAATCAATCTTCAGACTTTGGTCAGTCGTTCAAGCTTCGTTTTGTGTTGTTCATTATTCGTTTATCTTTCAAACAATTTTGCTTTACCCAGCACTTGAATGAATATGGTCAAATTTATTGAATAAATGCATAGGTAAATTTTATTCGAAGAGAATGTTTGAACTTTAGCAAAAACAAGTCGACGCAGAGCATCAAACCAGCACAGCGCCTCATCGTCATTATCCAATGAACAAATCCATCAAGTCACTTTCTGTTCGAACCAAATCCACCGAGCCATTCTTCACAATCAAAACCGATGATGAATCGATTCATCATCCTCTGAAACAGATCCGTATCAATCGTATAGAATATGCTGACGATGATTCAAAGAACAATCTCAGCAATATGGTAACGTCTTCTCTTATTCACCACATATTTGTTAATGCTTCAGTTTTTTTGGCTCAAAAACAAAAAAGCTTTTCACATTTCAAAGTGGGAACGCGAAACGTTGATCAGCACATATTTGAATTGCAATCGTAAAACTTCGAACGAATAGACTGCTGCAGATGTAGAGAAGCGATTTACGTATGGGATTGATTGCAGGAAGTAGCCGTCAAGTCTCTAATACCTGAACCTGCACCTGCATCGGCTGATTTCAAGAAAGCCATCCAGGAGTCATTGGCATTCGAAGAGCATCGCATAGAAATGTTGCGTAAGAAAATGACTGATGATCGCAAACGATTTGGTTCAAGAAAAATTCTGCTTGAATCACTGAGGAAGAAACCGACGAAGATAAGAGAACAACACAAACAATCCGTTCTTTCGAATGTTTCTTCTTCTTGAACTGTAGTCCTTTCATTTTTCCTGTCAAATCAAAAGAAAAAACGATTGATTGCTGCGGTTCATTTGCCACAACGAATTGTGTTCTTATCGAGAAATTTTACCCGGAACTGAAATTTCAAAAACTGGAATCCCATACTGGAAAATACTGTGATATCTTTGGTGTTTTAAATTAAGTAAATATTAGTTTTTATGCATATTAGATGACAATCAAGTATAAGAATCGTGATGACGAAGCCGCCATTAATAATTTTATGCGTATATATGGTTGGTAGTAATTGATGTTGTTTATGAATGAATGCAATCGTACGATAATATTTGTATTTGTTCATTACTTGTATCTCATGGCAGTCATTTTTTGCTTGCATTTTTGATCATTTATGAATTAAGTTGTGTAAATTATAATCATTTTATCAAAATAAATATGTTTCAACTTATCATTAAATTTCGAATTCCTTGAAGTCAGATGAGTGCGAGAAAAGCACATTTCTATCAATTCGATTGAACATTTCGAGGATTTTATTGGTATGTCGAAGAAAAGTGGAGTAATTATACATCGTTGAGCTAACGCAATCCTTATAGTATTCAGTGAAAAATTAGTTCTAATCCTAAAAATCATATGATTATCGTACTAGCCTTTATTCTAGTTTGTGACATTCGATCAGTATCAGGGTTCAGTTGCGTGATTTGCTTTCAGTTACGATCTTATAGAAGTGTGTCTGCCAGCTGATTTTGTCATTGAGCATCATCCATCCTAAAAAGTTGTTCATCACTCCTTTATAGGACACTAAATTTTATTAGCTTGCTACATGTTTAAGCAACTCAAATGATCAATAGGAAAGACCTAAAGTGTCGATTTTTTTCTCCTTTTTAGGTGATGCTTTTGAGCTTGAGTGTCGTCTCAGATTTCAGTCGATATGATTTGTGATGTCACTTGCCAGTGATGAATGATATGTATCTATTTATCCATCAACCTATCTAAGTGCCATATTTATGCCATCACCACGTCTAGAAAATCGGCTTCATTGGAAATTCATTGCATTAATTTATTCACATCTTTACTTTGCATCATTTGAATAAAAACTTGCGAATTGTACGCATTTATTTATCTGTAAGTGAGAAATTCGCCAAAAATTCGTCCATAAATCGATTTTTTAACTGCTCTGCATTTGTTCCATATTTAATATTTATATACTTTGCAATATCGTTATCATTATTTTCATTCAAGTATTTTGAAAATGTTTTGCCAAATCATAGACATACATACGTTTTCGTTGTTCAATTGATGTGGACTGGAAAGGTGTAAACTCGAGATTTCTTTAAACGAGAGTAGAATAATGTTGAGCGATTTTGTTAAAGCGCATTTCTAACATATAATTTCGCATTTATTAGTTACCTCACAATCACTGGTGCAACAAAACGACATGCTTGATTAGCAGCCGAAAGTTGGGGAAGTGATCGGGCTTTGTGCATCTACCTTGCCTGTGCTATTCATAAGCTACATTTCATCGTGAATCGATCGGTTTGTGCTGAGGAAAAGTGCATAGGTGTGCACCCATCAGTAATGAATACAAAACATCATGGGTGGTCCAACGAGCCAAAATAAAAGATATTTCCCCTTGATTCGCTGTTTGCTTATAATTACATTAATTTCCTTAAGGAAATTAATGAGGTGATATACAATCAGTCAGACCAATTGGGCGTTGATGATTTTTGAGCATTGCAAATGAAACAGACAAAGTGATTTCAACGTTTTTTGAGCATAAGCTTTTAGCCGAGATATTCAATGCTTCAGTAAAATACCGAATACACTATATATTTTCGTTCTGATAGATGCTGAAGAAATTACATGCTTCACCATCAATTTATTGCTGTTTTGCTTTTGTAATTCGCGAATAGTTGATGTTAGAAGAAGTTGTGCAGAGAATTGTTCATATACAGATGCGCGGATAACTGAAGCATCGTATTTCAGCGCAAGCGATCGTTGCTGTTCGTGGATACGATGCTTCTACGATGGACATTCTTAAAGTATAAAATTCAAGCTCGGTATTTATTAGCAGAGAAGATGTCAAACATGGTCACTCCGAAACGGCATCGATACATCTGTTCTGATCATCGCATCACGAACCATCCTCCTGATCCCAAGATAGTATCTGCATCAGATGACAACAACTCATTCCCAACTATCCACTCACAGTTGACAAGAACAGTCGTCGCTCAGAAGCGACTTCATCAAGTCGTTACCAATTGCGATTCTACGAAGAAAATCACGAAAACCGGTGGCTCGTTGAACGAAAGATGCGATGATGAGAAGAAGCGAAGCGATAAAGATGCAAGTTGCTGGTTCAAAACTAATAAACCATTGATGAGCGCTTTTAGGCTGACCACCGGCATTTCGTCAGCAACAGCAGTAATCGTAGTTGATCGCACTTTCCAGCTAAATCAAGAATCTTTGGTTGATTACATTTTGTCAGATTCGTAATACAAACCGACCAAATCGTAAACAATAACCAAACTGATACTGCGAATTGGCCAAATTCATTTGATGTCAATACTAGCAACATCAATATCAAGCGCCTTTGCACGGATTCAGAGAGCTTTTGATTCCGATAGGGCGCGTTTTTCCTCTGGACTTTTCAGTCGGGATGTTTGTTTCAAAATTTAGTGGGGCACCATCATTGCCAAACGTTTGTAGACAAGTGTGATTGAGCACAAGTGAAATGAAAGTTAAATGGAAAATCACACCTACTGAAACACGCCAATCGTTGGGCTCGACGAAATACCATACTAGAATCGTTTGTAAACATGAGGGTAAGTAAGTTTTGTTTGTTTATTGGTTCCTAATCTGAACACATTTTTATCGCATAACTGCACCGCTGCTGTCTTACAAATGGCCCCTCTTCTAACTATATCTCCTTCCAAAATCCTTCCAACGAGAAAAGGAAATTCCATTTTGGTTTCAGTCAAGCTAGTGCACTGATTTATTCGGAATCATTTCATCGGCTTACAATCAGTGTTAGTCTCACGGCCTATCCTTAACACAAATGTCAGCTTAGTGAGTTTGTTGGGGCTATATGTTTTCGGTTTAAGCACTGACTGAAAGGGTGGCCGATGAATGCAAATGATCTGCCTTGTTTTTCGACCAATCCTCAGGAATTTTACAAGTTTTGCTAATGTTGCGATGCTTTTCTTATATCGTTCATTGTTAGTTTTCCGTTTTATTGATTATTGACGGTATTATCGTCATCCTATGCGCTGCAATTATGTAAACTCTCGGTGAGAATAAGATTGTGTTTATGAACCTATTACTGCATGTTCTAATGTTTGTTGTTAATGTTAGCGATGCATTCGTGTTGTTAGTGTTGCTTAAATATTGACTTTAAATATGGGGATTGAAGAAAATGTTGGTGATGGCGATAAAGGTAGTGTTACTGTTGCTGATGCTAATGCTGATAGTGATGATGATTATGAATATGATGATGAAGTACAATTAGATTAAAGTTCTTAGTCTGACAGCAGCAAAAAGTAGCACGAATGGCAACGTGAAGATAAACAAATACACGAATCATACATACACACCACTAAATTCATTTATTGTACACTTTCTTCAAGTCTGTTCAAAGTTTTCAAATTGATCTAGCAAGCTATAGTTAGGTATATGTCAGTGTATATTTTCTCAACGAATGCCTTCAGCCTAAAAAATTATTTTAACAAGCATCATCAACGAAGTAAAATATTCACTCGTATCCTTTCAATTATCATCAATCATCACAAATCGAACAATCGTAAGTTTTGATTTTGCGTACGAATTGAAATTTCAATTTACTGAAATTCAAGTGATTTATTTCAAAGATTGGTGCTGTAAGACAATCATAGTCACTAATTTCCTCTTGCTCATAAACAATCCATCATCATCTCATCAATCTAGTATCACTCACTCATGATCTTCATTCAACTACAACATAGCAACGTAGCGAGCACTATTCTAACGATCAAATTTTTTTGTTGTAATGAAATGAGCAACTTTTCCCCTCATTAAAATGCGATTTCTTTTGATTAAGTGAAATGTTCACGGATTCTTCATTGGAATGGCAGTATTACCAGTCGTAGGAATAATAGTACTTTAAGATAACGAAGAATTATTAAAGCCTTTGAAAAATTTATCAGCCTGTTTTATCCTTTCATCCATTCAACTACATATCTGTTGATCCTATCTGATCGGTCTGTCTGAATTGTACTGCAATTTTCTTTGACTGCTGGCTCATTTTCTTTCAATTATCATTCTAGAATTGCGCCTATTCTGGTTTTTTCACCGCACCTAACACTATTATTTTATTCACAGCGACTTTAGATTGCCAATGCATGTACCAAACACAAACACGCATACATGTACCACAGAGACATCCACAGGAACTCAAACAACCTTTTTAATAAATTTTGGGCACTCATTCGAACCAATTATTCAGTGTTGATGCTGTTTCGGTGTTAATGTAAATGCTGATTAACCAGCGAATAATATTGTGTGTTTACTAACTGCTGACCATTTTATAACTGTTTCGATAAGTTCAAATGCTTCATACATGTTTGTATGTATTTGGCTTTATGGTCTGATTGTTATGAATGATTCTTGTTAAACACTGCGAACAGTTATTAGCAAACAATACCCTAAGTAGTTTTTTGGAAGCAGTAACTTGTCATTCAAAACCTGTCTGGCTGAGAAATTTTGTGCATTCATCTGGAGGTATTTTCATGTTGACCGGTTTCAAATGGATATGTTTATAATAGGTAATCATTTAGATAAATACGCAATAAACATTTTCGAAGTAGTAGATGAATAAATTAAATGTAATGATTTTGGTGCTACTGAATGGAAGACGTTAACTGAATAAGTTTTTCGTTTTTTATTTATTTTTATTGATTGTGAATGATAATTGAACTGAACGATATCGTTACGAATGTATTGACGGATATTTAATGAATGGGCAACTAAGTACTCGAATATGCGCCCAGTGCATTTGTTTTAACATGAACGATTGATCGTTGATAATTGTAGTTGATAAATCTTTATTAAATGTTTCGAGGCAACAGCAGTAGCATCATTAACAATGCTAATGTTTTAGCAGTTATCAGTGGTTGGGTGATTTGTTGATCTGATCTATTGCTGTGTACCTTAGTCTTGCTCACTTACTTAACAAAAGTTTTAGTCTTAGCCATTCTGACAACACAAAATCGTTTCCACTGCTATTGTTTGTAACAGATGTCGTATCCTCAGGCTTTACTTCATCATTTTTCTTATTTACTGCATCAAGATTTCAAATTTTCGATGCGAAAATTGTTTTTGTTGTGATCTATGAGTCTTTTCACTTCGTAGTCATTTTCAGATTCAAAATCGAGTATTTATTACACAGTACTATTTCAAGGTATCATCATTCATTTCTCGATAGTCTTATTTATGCTTCTAACTGAAGACAACATTTTCGTTCTCACTGAAGTTCGTAATGAGCGTACGCTAACTAGTAAATTGTTCATTTCTCTACAAGAGGACCAGAATTCTTGCGAAAACAAGAACTCACTAGACGTCTTATGTTCTTCTTGTTGTTATTCTCGTAGATTTTGAGTTTGTCGTTTGATTGATCAACTGATTCATCATTTAACGTATTACTATGAATTAGATTATGAAGATGATGATGGAGTGCTGATCCTATCAAAAAGAAAAATAAAAAAGTTTGGTAATGCTTTCAACTCGTATCGAGAAATTTCGTTCAGTGAGATGAGATTGACATATTACAGAATGTGCTTCTTCGAAAGGAATGAGTAGGTGAGCAATGCTGATTGCAGTAATAATCCATCCAACTAACTGCCAATATTTATTCACTTCATATTGCTTTCCTTCTTTTTTTTCTTATTATTATTGTTATTATTATCATTGTTTATTATTATTATCATTAATATTATTATTGTTATTATTAATTAATTCTTGTTATTTATTAGTATTATTATTGTTATGATTATTATTGCTACTAGTATTGTTTGCGTCGTTATTATTAAGCTCATGTCCGACTCAACTGTGCCTGATTATTTTGAAGACCCCTAATGCAAAGGACATAGATTTGTTGACAGGAGTGCTGTGTAGTGTGATTTTTATTGTGAAGTGAACGTGAGGTGTTCTCATCAGATTTATTGCTGCTGGAGTAAAGAAGTATTGAATTCTTGTCTGCTTATATAAGGAATTTGTTCTCTTTGAGCAAATTGTTGCTCGTCACTTCACTTCAGACTCGTACTTTGCAAGCGCATTTATTTCCTCTAGCATACTGCCGACTGGCTTAGATACACAATGCGCCTTTCATCCATATAAGGCGTTTCTAAATCTTGAACTAATTTTTTCAAAACTATTAATCACCATTCTTGCAAGAACTATGTGTAGACGACGATGCTATAATTATTATGACCATTGCTCATGTGTGTGATGCAAACATATCATCATATATGTATTGGATATCAAGCTTGAATAAATATGCATTAAAAATGTATATTTTTCTATAATATTCATTTTTGTGTAGGCGATTCAGCTCACTGTTGAAGGAATGAAAAGAAGCACTATCAATGTGATGTTGATTTTATCGCATCAGAACTCATCACATTGCCAGTATGATTGTTCAATAAGCAAAAGCAACTGCAACAATAGGTACGCACAACTTTCACTAAACAGTGAAACGCGAAACACAATGCTTCAAGTCGTCTGCATTTCGATTATCTGTGGGCAATACAACCTTTGAACGTATTCGTAACTTAATGTAACAGTTACTTGCTTAGTTACGCAGCAACTCTTACATTCTAGCTATAACAGCAGCTAGAAGCACTGAGCTGAGTTCAGCTGTAAAGATTTCAAGCACTAAGAAGTTGAGGTTGAACGCTGACGACCCACTGCGATAGGAAGAAATACTATTGTTAGAGGATAAGATAGATGTGTGCTTAATCCAATTTTTACAGAACAGTCCGAGAGAGGAAGTGCGAGGAAGCACGAGCGATATGAGAAGAATCTATAATATTAAACATTTATAATATAATAATAAGAATAATCAAATCAGTGATGGTTATAGATTTAAGAGGACAAGTAGTGTTGATAAATCTTCAGTTTTCTATTCTCTATCTTCTAATCCATCCATCAACAATCCATCGTACTCATCGTGCTCTTACTCATTGGTGTTTCACTGAAATGAGCTAACGCACTGAGCAATCTCTAACATCTCAAATTCATTCTCTTAATCTACCTCAGTTCTTCGTTCCACTTGAACTGAAGAAACGGATGAGATGAAGTAATGTTATTCGACAATCAACTACTCCGCAACTCATCTATTTGTTCATATCTTTCTTCTTCACTTCGACTCAGTACCTTCATAACACACCATACCCTACTCCCACCTTTGAACTCCAATAAGCATCAGCCTCAAACTCAGCCTTAGCTTAACCAACTTTTCTTCATCATCACAAAATCTTGTCACCATTTCCGCAATCATTTATTTCCTTTCTTCCATCTGACTGTCAGTATTACTTTTTATCGACACTTTCTTCGGTTCAGAAAACTAAATCGTAATACCAACATCATTAACTGCTGGTTTTAAATTGTCATTATTATTGTTATTATTATTGTCATTATGGTTACTGTAATCGTCATGAATATAAGTACTGTCGTATGTGTGCCTTGAATGTTTTGCATTATTCATCTTACTATTGTGAGCATCTTATTCAAATCGACTTATCCGCATTGTGCTTCAACTTTTTCGCGTGAATGTATGCATGACTATGAGGCAAGTATTAGCTTTGAATAGTCGAATTGGGATGAATTTCGAATCAGTTTTGATGTCATTTCGATTGCGATACGTGCCATGCTGTCTTTTTTAACTCAGTCTTATCGAGGTCTTCTTTGAGAGATTTTGTCTACACTAGGTAACGTTTATTATAAGTGTGTTAATTTTGACTGTGAATTCGCAGTCGGTTATGAACGATTTCTGGCAACGGCCACCTGAAGTAGCCAACGAAAAGACGATCAGCAATGCTGTTACCTAACCAGTGGTGCGAAATGACTGTACCAATGAAATTGGTTCATGTTCCCATTGGATATACTATCAAAATGGTTCATTCATCCATCTACGTGATACTTCTTTATCAGGCGTATCATGAAAAACGAGAAATTTCACTTTTGAGTTCGCCGGTTTTCAGTTTATCAGTTACTATCTTGTCAGTAGAAAGCTGGTCAGCCAATATCCTTTTATCTCAAATGAAATTGAGTAATCTACACATGGCTGCCGTGAAGCATCACATTTATCAAATGGACTAACTTCAATTCTTGTCTGCTTCCACTTATTTATGATCACTCGTCGCATTTTGACATCCAAACAAAAAACGAATGCACTCTATTGCAAGCATCATTTCATCAGTGAAAATTGTGCAATTGAATGAAGACATCAAAAAGCAAGCAGTATAATTATATAGCATTGAGTCATACACGCACTGATGCATGCGATTTTCATGGAAACTTTTAGAAATTGAAAAATCAAGAAACAAATTTGTGAAAAGTTGAATTAAATGATGCGAACGAGTGTGTTCCTCCCCTTCAACGAATCACTTTTTACCATTGGTATGAGATGAAATTTTGAACTTTCGTGAATAACATCTGAATCAGGGTATCTTGTTTACACTTATCTGTTAGTCCAGAACGTTTATCAACGACGATTTCAACATATGATATGAAGAACGAATACGTTTCGAAATTGCTTTGTTTGAGCGTTCGAATGAAGAGAAAACAGATGATTTTCTTCTAACATTTGATGTAAATTCAGGCGAAGTACCACAATCGCAGTCGTCTGACGGCATGACGATTGGCGCTGGGGGCGGTGGTGGAGGATCTCGAAGTAACAGTCGTAACTCACGAACAAACAAATATAGTACCTCAAAATTACGAAACAATAGTCAACATGGTAGCAATGTTGTGACAAGTGGAACTTCTTCACTTGGTTTGTTACTCAATCTTAGCGATCTGATGAGTTGATTGCTTGAATATGACATTCTTGGTGAGATTCACTTTGACGAAAACACCATAAAGATGGAGTAGAAGAAGAGGAGGGTAATATATAACCAAATTCGAAAATTCATTACATTTTTTTTCAACTTATTCACGTGGTTGCTTCTGTTTTTAATGGTGATTGTTTTGAAAACTCTTTTATGATATCATTGATCGAAATCATTTGATCTTTTTACTTATTTTCTTTAGCAATCAATATATTCACTATAAATTTTAAAAAAATATTGTATTGATATTTTTTTAAAGTGCAGTTTGTGAGACCTAATTGTTTTCAGGAGGACAACCTCTCAATAGTCCTGGTATAGGAGCTGGTAAAGGTGATATTAAGCATCGTTTTGAAATAATTCGAAAGCTCGGTTCGGGTACCTATGGCAAGGTTTCACTCGCGTACGATCATAAGAATGATCGAGAGGTGAGCAGCATATTAACCAAGCACATTATTCATTCTGTTCTCCTTAATTTATTTCATACGAGGCTGATCTACGTTAACTCAGCCGTAATTCTTTTTGCTGTTTGATTGCGTTGAAATGGTATCGATAATAATGACGATACTCATCATAATAACAACAGCAGTAAGATTTTTGATGATATTATCACTAACAGTGATAACGATGATTCATGATCAGTATTCGTCATCGAAACTTCTTTTGTTTGCACCACGCACACAACTGTTCAGTTGATCGAGCTGAACACAAGCTTTCAAAATGCTGATAACGTTTATCGATTGGCGAAGTCAGCTGACATAGTTTTAGCTATTCAGCACACATTAATAGCATTCAATCCAAGTTTTAAACAACAATCTATTATATGTCCATCTCAGATCGTATCTGCACATTCAACACAATAACTTTCTACGTCAGTATTCAATTTACGATAGCACAATCAGTATACCACACATATAACATAGGCTCTACTATCAGAACTGACTGGTTATGTTGAAGATCGTTCAAAGAGCACAATTGCTGTTGATCTGTGACTAATCACTTTCAATAGCAATGCTTCGCACTCTCGTTGTTGAAATCGAACATTTCGCAATCTCATGAGCACATTTAAAAAATCTTCATAAATGTTCTTTATATATTGTTCACCATTTGACAACTGAATGCAACAAACATTCTCTCATAATAGCTAAAGCGATCGAATTTGTTCGAGAAGGAACAATAAAACTAATAACACTAACATCGTGTAAATGGCTCGAATGTTTTGCAAGAAAAAGCAAAAACGAAAAATGAACAATTCCTGCGACATCATAAGTAATTTTGAAAACTATCGATGTTTTTAGTTGTGGCATGCAAATGACTGCGCAACTCATAGATCGATGCATAATTTTTTCCGAATGATAGATCAGATCAAGCAAATAATGCGGCCTCTCACGCTCTGCCACATCAATCTACTTCGGTGATATTAATCGGCCTATCAATTCCTCACTTTTAATAGGAATTTGCAGGTAGCCGTGAAATTAATCAAGAAGAGTGCAATCGAGAATAAACAAGATTTGGTTAGGATCCGACGTGAGATCAGAATTATGTCAGCGCTTAAGCACCCAAATATCATACAGATTTTCGAAGGTGTCGCTAACAATTTTTGCTTTAGTTGATTTTACTACTAACTTATCACTTATTCCAATCACACCCTATTCATTTGAGCCTTCATTTCTCAACTCGCTCCATCATCTCCGATTTGCAAAACTGGTTCAGCCTCCCAGATTATGGGATTGAAGAGTCATATTTTCATTTTATGATTATATACATTATCATTTTTACAAATAATATTCGATAGAATTCGATGGAATAGTTGATTTAATGTTTTAATAAAATCATTTTTGCAGTCTTCGAAAATCGAGATAAAATTATTCTTGTTATGGAGTACGCTAGTGGTGGTGAACTTTACGATTACGTCAGTACCTACGGATCGCTTCCTGAGGCTGAAGCACGACGCATATTTCGTCAGATCACATCTGCAGTTCTTTATTGCCATAAGGTGGTCACTTTTCATCAAATATTAATGTCGTGCAGTACAATTGTTCACTGTAGCATCAGTTGCATTGGGCACTTCACATTCTCTCAAATGATTCCGACCAAATATGATTACCGAATGACCCTCTAGAATGAATGAATCGAATTTCAACTTCAGTTGATACTTATGCAACTGATCAATTATTTCAACTAGTCACTGTTCATTACAGCATAAGGTGGCTCATCGAGATCTGAAACTCGAAAATATTCTCTTGGATGTTGATAACAATGCGAAGATTGCCGATTTCGGTCTATCCAATTATTTTTCCGAAAAGAGTTTATTGTCAACATTTTGTGGCAGTCCTTTGTACGCATCACCAGAAATCATCAACGGTACTCCCTATCGTGGTCCTGAGGTGAATCTTCTAAACCAATATCATAACCTTCACTCAGTTGCTGCACACTGTCCAGACTTTTTCGTAGCAGATCACTCACTTTTATAACATGGTTCCGCTAAAGAATTTTCTAAAAATTTTTATTGTCATAAATATCACGGTAAGGTATCTGAAAAAGTTGTCATTTTCAGGTTGATTGCTGGAGTCTCGGTATTCTGTTGTATACCCTCGTTTATGGCTCCATGCCGTTTGATGGTCGTGATTTCAATCGAATGGTAAGACAAATCAAAAGAGGTGCATATTTCGAACCAGACACGCCATCGAGTATGTTCATTGGAAGATATTTTATGGTTACTCTGATAATGATACCTTTTAGAGTAATCAGATAGCGACTATTTTCAACTGTTGTTTCATTACATTGATTTGGAGAACTGTAAACTCGAGCTGATTGAAGAAATTGGTGCAAATCTATTGCTGAGTAACAATGAATAAAATGACCATGCAAAACGGCAAACGCTCTGACGTTCTGATTGCTTAGTTTATGAAGTAAATTGTATTAATTCAACGACAGTGTGCAGTTTGGCTGAGATGTGTGTGAGCTTTGTAGTTAGTATTAGTTTAAATTCAAATTTAGAATGCAAAATCGAGAATTGTGATAGCAGTAAAAAAATATGTAACGCATAAGATACGAATTTATTAGTACTATTACTAGTTGTTATTTTTAGCTGCATCAATGTTAATTCGTAATATGCTTCGGGTGAATCCAGAACGAAGGGCTGATATCGACGATATAGCCAGCCACTGGTGGTTGAATCTTGAGGAGAATATGCCTGTCATTCAAGAACTTCCTGAAAATCAAGTTAGTGCTCAACGTCTTTCCACAGATAAGCAATCAAGAAATCGCTTGTAGCCCTTCAGAAATTTTTGTCACCAGGTAAAGTTTGTGTTGTGGAGAGTGTGGAAAGATGCTAAAATGCGATCGATGGAAAGTAATAATGACAATAATAGTATTAGTATTATGTTCATTCATTTGCATTTCTTATAGATCGTTGATTTTACACCACTTACGGAACGTGCAGAAACAATGGTTGTACAGGATTTGGCTGACGAAACCGATGTTTTTATGGACTTCGGTCATTTAAGTGCTGCAACGAGGTATATGGTTGAGAGTGCTCATTTATGGCTTAGAAGAATGCTGAAAAATGAAAACAAAGGTTTTGGCAGAATAAAGATGAAATCTTAGCGAATCGTTTTCGAATAATTTCATGCGTTAACGATTGCAATTTTAGGAAGAAAATTGAAGAATTTCGAAGACGTCGAAAAGAGGCCGAGGAATACAACGAAAATTCACCAATTAAACCACCAAAATCCAGGAAGACAGACGGCCATGAAGAACAATTGGAAATGCTCAGTGCTGAGAAAAGCCTTCGACATGATGTGGTGAACGATCTATTAAATTGGAACTGTGAATAGTCGAAAAGCTGTGATTATTCTTAGAAAAATCAACTGATCAATGGCCGTTCATTAAACTGAAGATGATGACTGAATAGTATGATTGTTCAGGTACCGAAAAGGGCTGAATTACATAAAGATGAATTACGTGATGATTTCAATGATCCGTTGGAAAGGTTGAGACGTTTGGAATCGCGTCTTCAGTCCACTTCGAAAGATAATAACAAGCGCTCACCGGATCGAGCCCGTTTGACCTCACCTGTTAGTTTTGACTGGTTTCCTCTCTGAACCCTTTGAAAGGCGACTTTAATCAAAATTTTCCTGATATAAATCATCAGACTAGCACGTCTGATTAAAGAAAAGGCAGATAGGATCAATTGGTTGAATCACTTGAAGGTACGCAGAGACGTCTACAGAAGACAGCCGGCTATCAATAATGATAGTAATACCAGTAACAGCCATCCATATAGTAGGACCTCTGAGAAGAAACCATTGGTTTTGTCCGAGACAAAAGAGAAAATCCGCATGAGCAGCCCAGAGCAGCCAGATGATCCGACAACTTCAGGCTCTAAAATCAGGTGAGTAGTATAAAATCGTAGTATATTATATGAATGGCCAGTACTTTCCTTATCAACAAAATACTTTCAGTCCATAATAAAGTACTCTTGTTGAATATCTATTCATTCAACTACAGCTAATACTTCAACTGTTTACAGTCAAAAAGCGACATCAACGCAAAAAAATGTTGATGAAATGAAGAAGCCATCATTCGTGGCGATTGATGCGGAGGAGAATAAGACAACAACAAGACAACCGTTTCGGAATATGCCTACCGGAAAACAACAAATGAACACATGGCGAGTGGAAACTGACTCATTGAATATGCTAATGAATCAGGTGAATACAATGATGTGATTCAATTCAAGGAAGATTGGGAAAGATTCACTTTCGAGATATTCAGAAATTTCGATCTGTTGTTTTGATGGTGTCGTTTTGTTTTATGTCGTTTTCTACAAACCGTCTATAATGGTGGTATTAAATCGTATGCTGCAATCGAAGAAAACGAAGCGAAAACTGAATCTTAAACTGTATCGTTTAATGGAGCAGAGTTGATAGATGATAATTACTGTCATTGCTATCCTTTTCATCATCATCGTCAATAATTAAGGTTCTTGAACAAATGGAAAGTGGCCCAGTGAGCATGAATTTAATCGCACGTATAAAGGCCCATCCACTGTACGATGCGAGACCGATGGTCAAAGAACTACTCGAATCTATCATCGCTGCCCAACCGCCATCCGTTCAGAAACAAGCTTCTAAATTGATTCAACAACAATCGCAGGTGAGACCAGTGATTATTAACACTGACTTGAATATTATGCAGAGCATTGTTCGCTATTAGAATTATTTTCAAGTAGTCTTTTATTCAACTGGTTCATTCACCAGTTGCAATCTTTAACTTGTTCGACTTTCCTTAAGGAACTTGTTCGCCGTCAACAATCCGAAGCAGCCACTCAGAGACGTTCAGAAAAGAATGAAAGGAATGTTTCTGGTCCCTCACAACGTCCAACTGAGGCTGTTGCTATTGTCGCTTCAGATGTGTCACCTAAGAAATACGAACTACCAGAAGTACCGCAAAGAACAACCACTACTAATACTTTATCAGAAAAGACGCGTCAAAAAGACGCATTTGAGGAAAGACCGTGGCATAGTGTTGAGGTGACCACTTCTCCTTTAATGCCTTTCGGTCGATTTGTTCAATTATGGAACATTATGTAGTTCGTCTCTTTCTATGCATTTTCACCAATTATTTTCGATGTGAGTCTATCTCATATGATTTTGCCATATTACAATTAGGTATGAGGTATCTTTTAAAGAGTATTTATTAAAAGGTTTTTTCGCAATACTGTTGTTCACATCGTAACTGAACACTGAGTTATTTTATCTGAAGGTTGGTTTTGATCCTGATGAAGAAGAATCGGAACGGATGGACACAGATGCTCGGCGACATTCGATTTGCACGAATGGTACCGAAGAGGAAACAGTTCAAGTAAGTTGCATTAATTTGTTGATTTATTCTTATTTTAGTGGTATCAGTAGTAATAGATGGTAAGGGTTCACTGCTGATTGTTTAGCTATTAACTGTTGTCAGAAAATGTCACTTTCCGACATGAACAATTATAATATGATGTATCATGATGGTGTTTTAAGGATACGTCGTTCGAAGATGAAACGGATGCTGTGAAGATGACAATGTCGGAGAGTGACAAGATTATTCAAACGTCAAGTACGAAAGCAGGATCTCATTTAAGTAAGAGGGATACCATTGAAGAGGTTGAAGAGATGGATGATGAAGAAATTATGACTGATGAAGAGGAAGGACAAGAGAATGACGACGAAGAAGAAGAGGACGGTGAGGAGGAGGATGAAGAGGAGTACAATACGGAAATCGATGAGCTTGGCAATGAAGTTGAGCAAGTTAGTGCTGCTTCATTTATTTCAAGTGATCGAATTAGCGAGATCGATCTTCTTCTAAAATTCATCAGCACTTAACTAACATCACCACCACTATCAGCTCATCTTTTTGGTATTTTTGAGATTGAAGAGGACGATGATAATGTATCGTATGCAAGTGCAGTTTCTCAACAAATCAACGAGTATCCAAGCGATAATCAACCACCGCCTGACCCACAAAGTCATGGTAGCGCGCCAAAATTCGTCGATACCTTTGATAGAGGTCTAGCAAAACGGCAAAGCAAAGGCAAATACCAGGTTGCTTGCTCGTCAGTTCGATCACATCACTCTGATTCACCTAGATGTTTTTTGCTAACCAAAATCGTACGAAACTTATCTCTATCGTTCAATAAATTACCATATTATTCAGTCTCGTTCTTGATTTCAAATCTTATCTCAGCACAATAAAGTGGAACTATACGGTCGAGGTGTGTCAACTGAATGTGAAAGTCCGACATTTCCGCATCGACGAATCGGCGGTCCCCAACCAACTATCGAACGATCGCCGTTCTTATTCGACAAAGTAATTATCAATCCACCATGTCATTTCAATTTCTCTGTGTTTTTTATTTCTCCCCATTTGCTTACTGCATTGTATTTTAACATTTTTTGCACCAAATTATTGCATATGCGGGTACATCGTTGTACTAAATCTTAAAGAAAGTGGAATAATCTCAATTCTTCCTTTTTGCTGCTTTGTTCCTTTTCGCCGTTTCGTATTCGAAATATTTTGGGACTGTTGTTATCATAGGCAAAGAAATACATAATGACATATCCGAAACAACTGGATGATAGTGAGGATGATTTGCCGGGTCGGCTGGGAGGACGAAAAAGTAAAGATGTGAAGAAGAACTGGCTGAGAACGCAAGATCCGGATGTGATGGGCTCAAGCATGGAAAATGCCAGTCAATCGGCGACACCATCTGCGAGGTAGACGAATTGACGATTTGGTTTTGACTTTTACGTTTGACTGTTTGCATAAACGATCGGTAATGTGATGAACATTTTCTGATAGTTCACTTCGGTTTATCTGAATAATTGATTTAAATGTGTCAGACTTTATGTGCCAAATGAAGATGATCATGTTCAAACCATATCAACTAATTATTGGTCATTGAAACATTCAATAAGATCTACGTTATTTAGTCGTCTTGGCTCATTACCACCACGCAGCCTACCAAAAACAACAAAATCGGAGGATGAAGAAGCCTCTGAGCTTGAGGAAGAAGAGGAAGGGGATGATGAGGACGATGAAGAGACTAAGGGAAGTGAAGAGGATGCAGAAGAAAAGACAGAGGAAGAAGAGGAGGAAGAGGAAGAGGAAGAAGGAGAAGTTCAAATCCGTAAGCCATCATTCAGAATTAAGACGCGAACATCTGATTCGACTAGGAGCAATCTTCCTTCTAATGCCGCCACCTTCACATACCCTTCATCTGATTCACAAAGTAAATTTATTTTCTCGCTCAATTCTGAAAGTATTACCCAACAAAAAGCATCTTATTACAGATTTCGTTTCCCAAACTTGGTGCTATATTGAACTGGCTCAGTTTACTGATACAATACTCCGTATTACGCAATCCAGTCTTACACAAATATACGTAGTGTACATACGTAATTTTTTATCACGCCATCGTTTTCGTTCGAATGACGTAAACCAAAAATATATGATCATCTGTCCATTGAAATATTCCTAGAATATGAACATCATCTGTCCATTGAAATATTCCTAGAATATGAACATTCACACTTTTTTGTGGTTTTTTTGGCTGACGATTTTGAGCAGTAGTTGAAACGTCGTTGACAATCGTTCGAAAACCGAGAGCATCGGGCATGAACGTGGCTCTGTCTCAATTGTTACATCTCTGATACGAAATGCTGCAACTGGTACACATAGTTTGTCCTCAGCTTCAGCAAATCGTGAACAACGTTGTTGTCTCATTGTCATTCGTTCGTGCAAACAACCTAACCAACAAGCCCACTTCATGCCAACGTCGCTTGTTCAGCTCTCAGCCACTCATAACAATCGTTTCGAAACAGTGATTTTTATTTTGGTATGATATTGAATGATACATTTTCAGACACACGAATCGTTGATTCATCGAAACTCCAACAACCACCCAGCCATGTCTCTTCTACCTCTGGTCATATTTCTGAACATAATAATAGTACCAAAACGACTGCTGAGGTGATTGGATTAAAGCGTTGTTGCTAAGTCTTTATGATGCTACCGTCTGCCTCCATCATAGATTTTCAATTTATATTATATCAAGTTCTAATGTGTTGTGTTGCTAGTTTTTTTACCTCAATAAAAACGCTCCAATGGAATGTAACAACGGGCTACCGTAGATGCAACTTTGCAAGCGTTTATCTAGCTGAAGTTCTTCAAGTAAAGAGTTTCAACGGTTTGTTTCAATAGAAACTTTTAGAGCCGATTAGCTGTTCGATCTGATGCAGCCTGTGGTAGTTCAGAAGTGAATAATGGGTCAAGGTTAGAGAGGAAAGATTCGAATGCAAATGAACTTGAACGAATGCCACTAATCGAGAAAACGAACAATGATTCTGAACGACAGCAAGAAGAACATCAATCGTCCATTTCAAATCAGCCTCATCCGATCAGGTATCTATGACTGAATGAGAGAATAAAGAATGGTAGGATCGTTACTAAACGATCCTGATGAGCGAGCCATTGTAGCTTATTTCTGAGCATGGCACAATTTTGTTTTTTCGTTCTCATCTTTAGCAAGCATCCATTTGTTGTGCTAATTCATTACTGTATTAGTGCTGGTATTAAAGTGGTTATTATTATTCGCACAGCTAGTTTTATTAGTATCAGTATTATTATTACCCACAAAACATGTGTTGCTGCGTATGCACGTTTTTTTGTTCAGTTGTTTTTTTTATAGTAATAATGAGTTGACAACGGATTATGCGTCAAATACTGCTGGAGGGGGAATGCAATCATGGGAAACGGCAGCATCGTATATCCGTCGTAAGAATCGTGAAAGACGTCAACGGAATCGAACGATTGCCACTTCAGAAGATCTCCTAAGAAGGTGCCCTTTATTTTAGCATTCTCACTTTAACATAACGCCAGTAAATACTGCAGCTCTTCTAGTTCTTTTCTTATCGTTTTTTATCGCTTGTTTCCAATTTCGTCGCATGGAACATGCAAGCATTGATTCAGTCGTTTTGCTTGATTCGTATGTGTGCTTCATACAATAATCATCCGCACATTTTATCTCATATTCTCATGCAATTTATCCCCTATATGCTCCATTATTACTCTAAATGATTCAGATTCACTTTTCACTGTGTATTTTAATTATCTAAATATGAATGTTCAGTTTTTCTCTAAAATTTCAGTGCTATTGAATACCGTGATTTACTCGCTCCCGCTACGTTTACAGCTATTGGTGGTGGTTCGTTGAATCTATTGTTTTACTTCAATTGCTTTATCTGTGCTTGTAGTCGAAATGCTCCTTTTCACAGTACAAATTCTCCTGATTTCATTGAGACTTCTTTTCAGAACGCTATTCGGGTACAACAAATAAAAATGCTTTAACAACAATAACGGGTCGAGCGCTATCTCCAACGTCAATGTTAGTCGGACGAGGCAGTAGCATTAATACGTCCATAAATAATGATGATAATAATGGCCATGATTATAGTAATAACAGAAAAGACAGTAGTAATAATAACGATAATAGTAATAGTGCAGCAGCAGATGCTTTTTACTCACACGTACGACCTATTGCCGCAACCAGTGATGCAAGGGAGCAAGGTGTGTATTTTTAATAATTTAGTAATGAAATTGATTACAATCACTTCAATTTGATTTTTATGACAATTAACAGAACCTTACCTGACGTAATGTATTTTGGCTGTGACTAAGTCTGGTGTGATCTTTTCTGAGATTCACTTCCAATTGATCCATACAGTATGGTTCGATCTGAATAACTGATTGCATTACAGGTTCACTGTTTCCTTATGTACGTCCAAGGTATCATGATGAAAGTTACCGTAGGAAAGAGAGCGAAACCGATGCAGCACCATTATCACCAGCACGTTTCAAAATGGTATGCGGCTGTTATTTGTTGTCATCGCTTCTAAATCATTACAGTTTTTAAGATGACCATTGCTTTGCCGCATAATTCGCATGAGTTAATAAATTCCTACCGTCATCTCCAGTACTTACCATACAGCATTTCCTCATGATTGTTCAACGCATCAACACACAGGCACATCACAAATATGAGCGAAGTGACCACGAATACACTGAGATAGGTTCGAAAGTTAACCGAACGAGAATAATTGCTGCGTTAACTTAAGTGTTAACTTAATAATTGCTGCGTTAACTTAAGCAAAGTGTAGCCTTGAAGTTGCAGTGTGCCGAACCTGAATCCACCAATCGCCTGCCAGCTCTGTTTCTGTTATTACCTCTAGCAGTTAATGCGTTGTTCGATTGCTAGAAAGAATGTCTAGATCATTTCCTTTCCGTTTGCAGGCAACCAACCAGGCCTATACTTTTCGTGATGATCGTGCTAAATCAAAATCCATACATGATTTATCACCGGATAGGCCAGATATGTAAGCATATTTATCTATCTATTTGAATGTCCCTTCTCATAACGAACTATTCATTTTATGTTGACATTGACTGATTCATTTCATTTGTTTAGATGCCTAATAATAGTGCAAAAAGTCTGTTCGAATTAGTACACTTTGAGTTCACCTTAATTATAGAAGGAATAAAGCAGTAAGAGGCTCGCTGAATATTATCATTTATTAGCTACACCTATCGTGTGTTGCTGGTATCATTTTTATTAAACTTTCACAACATTCTATCGAAAAAACTGTTGTAAGCGATGAAAATTAAGTTGGAATTTTGGAACTCTTAGTTAATCAGTTCTACAGCGGATTCATGCTCTTTACAGGAACATGTATCCCACGGCAATAGCAACGAAATATGCAAGTGGAGCTTCACCTTCTTATGCTAGCCGTTATGATGGCGAGGTATTTTATTTCTGTCTGATGTGTGTAAGTAAGATCGTATGAAATCATTACCTCGAATAATTGCCTGTTAACAGTGAATGAGCAAATAATAAACTATGGTGTTGTAATGCTTTTGTTATTTGGAATGCGCAGTTGGTGTTTGAGTGAGTGATACAAATCGCTTAACCGTTTATTGCAGCAATACCGTCATTCTAATGCACTCCAAAATTGGGCTAATGAACCGAAAAAATTTCATGTCTACCAGACTCGTGCTGAACGTGAAGCCGAAAGGAACACTGCTGTTAAGTAATCATTTTATTCCAAAATATTTTGTTTATTCATTCATTCAAACACTAAGATATTCAGATATCGATCAGTGTTTCGAGATGGTCATTTCGTTATTATATGAGATTCCATAATTGCCTTTATGCGAACAAAAATATGTTTTACATTGATAGACAAAATTTTAAATTGGTCTTATCAAACTGAATTGTTTGCTTTCAATTCAATAATTTTTCGGTCACCTACGCTTGACAGCAGGCTTTCTGTGCACTTATTTATAATGTGAGTATACTGTTTATGGTGATAATGAAATTGAAAATGATGGTAATGGTCACGTTTATGAAGTAATCTCCATCCTTCGTCAACCTATCGACCGGCTGGTGGTTCGTCATGGTACATGAACGCTGCAAGTGGTGGTGGTCCAAGTGGCGGAATAGAGCATCGAGCAACGAATGCATATCATCATAATCCAGGATCAACATATAGATCACGTTATGATGACAATTTTTCGTATCGACGAGGTGCTTACGATGTGGAACGTCAAGGTGGTTAATTCATTGAGAACTGGTTCAAAGCAGTTCCATATGTCATTGGTGTAGTTCTGAACTTAATACTGAATGGCTGAATGTTTTTGCTTGATAAGTATAGCTTATTACTCAATTTTGAGGTACTCCTGGATCTGAAACACAACCGTCTGCTGGTTTTCAATCTGGTGCTGTAGCAGCAACACAAGCGAGCAGTCACGATAACACCAATGCTGCTACTACCACAACTAATACAGGTTGCTCGGTTTGCATTCGTTTATTCTGCAATATTATCATTATCATCCAACAATTATTTGGAAAAAAAGAATTCCTGAATAATTATTGTATTATGAACGAAGGCGTTTTGATCATCTGAATTGGATTATTGAATAAATTTAAGCAGGAAGTGGAGGAATAGTGGCACGCTTTCGTCCAGTAACAAGGCGAATAGCCACATCGTTGATCAATTCAGATCGTTACAACAACAACTACGCCCGATCTCATAGCATGGACCGTAAATTTAGTCATCAACAGGAGGACAGTGGCGGTGGTGGTGATGCAAACGGTAAGCAAGCCAAACACGAAAAACACACAAAAAGAGTTCAAAAAATCGCCAACGAAATGCAAAATCAGCTTAATAACCATCTCCTCAGCCGCATTCACTTTCTTCGAATCAACTGCCTCTCTCTCCTCTCCTCCCTCCCACCCCAATTGAGGGATTCACCATGAAAAACTCACTGATATGCAAGTTGCTGCTTGACTAATGGGTCCTTTTTATGTTTGATGCTAAAAGACTCATTCTCTGAAAGGTCACATAGAGCCGACGTCGCTTTTTGCAGTAAATTCTTCACATCTGCGGAATCGATTACTTTCACCTGAATTGTCAAGTAATGAGAAGAATGACTATAGTTATGTGAACTATCATGATACGGCGTCAGCTCGTGGTTCCATACCTAAAGAACCGGACAGTGCTCGTTTACCATCAAGGGGCATTCTTAAAAATAAGCAGGTGTGAAACTGTTACGTGATTCACTTTAATTGAATTCAAGTTTTGTTTTTACTGATCGTTTCAAATTCTGATCATCGTTTCACTTTCTTGACAACGAGAGGATTGCTTTTATCAATCGGTAAGTTTTGTAGAGCGCGGATCTGGAACCACGAGCCACCACAACCGCTTTGCCGACGTCGGAAAACGGTCGAGGGTTGGTTGGAGGGAAAGACCAGTCGACGACGACATCATCCGGTACGTATCATACTCCTCTATTCGAAGGCTTATTTCATCTTTTTCTCAGTGTATTTCCGTAATAGCTCTAGATCTCATTTCCAACAACAATAATGTAGAGCACTGATCTCGTAAAGCACTGATTATTCTTACCATCATTAATATTGCTATTACTTTCATTGGCTATTGTTTGTTGAGGAATGAAGAATGTGTTAGATCGTTTGAAACGTCATCTCTCAACCGAGAAGAGTGTCAGCCCGGCACCCGCATCCCCAACAGCACTTTCAACAATGGCCAGCACACAGCCACGCGAATCATCCGTCGCTTTTCGTCACCGCTTTGGGTCAGCCGCTGGTCTTGGCAATACATCAACGATAACGCCGCATAATACCACCACTAATTCAGCCCTTACAAACCATGCATCAATTGCTAACAATTATGAAGATGGTACAATCAGTTTGAGTTTGATAGTGCTAAGTCATTTAGCTTAGTACAACCAACTAGTTAGTCTTATGAAAGGCATCAAGGCCGATAAGTTATTGCTGTCGATTGTTGCATTAGGGAGTGAGAAATTAATGAGAATGTGTGATGATTGTTGAATGTCAAAGGTAAAGTGGCGTCGTCGAAAGAGGTTACGGATGATCAACGAAGTAAGAAGCGAACATTTCTATCGTCACTTGGCAGAAGGCGAACGACCGAGATGCGTCTTAATGCCGATGGGAAGATTGTGACGGCAGATTTAGAAGATGACCTCAAAAGACCATCATCACCGATCGAAAAAATCAAATCACTCTTCCGTAAAAACAAAGATCATCGCACCTCACCTATTTCTTCTTCGTCCAATCAAACTACCACTCCTATATCAACACCATCAACTACAGTTAATAACTATTCTAATCCATACGACTTCACGCGACATTATTCGCCGGTAACATCCTCGAATGCTACATCTTCGAATAGGTATGTAAATGCATATTATTAAGATAGCAATTCTTTCGCTTCCTTTCTAGCTTGATCAATTTTGCTTCAAGAGGGGTTCAATCGACTCACTGTTTCATGTTTCAAATACTTGAAATTGATCAACTCCGGATGGATATAAGGATCATAAGTTTTGCTGTCGTCGATGATTGTAGGTATGGTTTAATGGATAGAGGGCTTGGTGTGTATCCGTCGTCGAATCTGTCGCCTGTTGCTACAAGGGAGTCACATGCACCGTATACTCCACAATATCGAAAAGTTACGGGTGAGAGTATTTGCCTTTCAGAAAGAAATTGCCTAATTAGAAGCAAGCTAAATGAAACTGTAGGAATGGAGTGCTAAAGTGGTGTAAGAATGGAAGTTGAACGATGCCTTAATCTGTTTATTTAGGTGCTTCAGCTGGTGGTGGTATGGGAATAAACTTGAATCGATATAGCTATACACCCGGAATGAATAGTGAACGTCCATTGAGGCATTGGTACGAAGATTCACATTTATATTGAATGAAAATTTTATGAAATATTATTTTATCGTGGTCATCTTCTGGTATATTACTCATTTATGCAAACTGTTGTATTGACATCTTTTTCAGTTTTCTTTTCTTGGCTCACTCCGTATACTTGGCTCGTTTTGTTGTTGTCTTTCGATGTAATTTCACAGTGCAATACATAATTAGTTGCAATCGTGATATCGTCTTTTTATCCATTCATCATTTAATCGGGTTTCATGATCAAATTGTCATGAGGCTCTTCTCTATTTGATCATGATTGATTTTTGATCGTAACCTAACGTGTAACGGGTTCGTTCAACTTCAAACGCTTAGCATTCGGGTCTGGTCGTTCTTAGACTTTTCTTTCACCAGATATGCGCGCATTTGTGTCTGGAGCAGCCAACAGTATTTGCCAGCTGTGTACGATTCAAGAAGACAATTCCAAAAACAACACTTCTCCACCATTTCAATAATTGATTGGTTGATTTCAATGCGTTGGCAATAACTTATTCCTCACCTCTCGTATTAATTATCCTTCGTCCATTCTTAATTTATGCGTTGTTTTTAGATTGTTCCCCAGAACTATGATCCTTCGCAAGTCGTTTATGGTAATGATTCTAATAATAGTCGTAATAATAGTAATAATAATACTACACTTTCAACACCATTACTTGTTGTGCTTATGCGTGTTCTGGTCTGCTGCTGGCGTTCTTTTTTATTTCGAAATTTTATCGTTGTTCGCTACATTTATTCGTATTGTGTTTTTTTCATATTTTGGTTCAAAGATCGGAATAATCGTAAGTGCACATAAATATATGCATATATAAATGAATACAGACGCTAGATTGTAATGAATTGTGATAATTGAAAATTTATGTGCCTCTCTGAATTAATTGTGCATTGAACCGATGGTGCTTCTTTTTTCTTGCAGTTTATTATTATCATCATTGATACTATAAATATCATTATTATTACTTTTGTTATTGTCATAATTACCAATTTCTTTATTAATATTATTATTAATTATTATTATTACTATTATTATTATTGTTGTTGCTATTATTATCATCATTATCACAATTATAATAATAAACGTTTTATACTCAGCGTTTCAGGATTTCAAGCAATTCAGCACTCGTTAGGTCGTCCTTGGAGCTTGCATCTTAGATTTTCTTGTCATCATTGAATATTTCTATTCTGGGCGGTAAACTTGTTCGAAATTCGTTCCAATTGATGAATACTTGAGCTGTGTGAAAAGCACTGAGATGTGTGGATATCAGCTGAATTGCATTGTGCAATGTGAATAATCGGCAACAGTTGTTGTTGCTATATTGAAGCAAATGATTCATAGGACGGATATCGACTGACTTAATAAGGTTGTATTCACGTTTCTGATTCTAGTTTTCAATTTTCTCAAAAATCAAAAAAAAACAACAGCATTGAAAATTGGTTAGAACTATTGCTGCGATTGATTTTTATTCAGTACATTCATCTCTACTTAACTGTATCAGTTTTTTTGGTAAATCCGCTTATATTTCACATCTTCCCACGTCATCATCTTATCACTAGTTTGTTATCACTTTTATCATTGAATATTACTGCTTACAAATAATTCAAATTGAGCTGCTTCTAAATCACACTCACTAAAGAAAATCAGTACACTTTTAGACGTGCACTGATTATATTTAGAACTATTGCTGGTTTGAATTCCTTGAATTCCGAATGTAATAATCGCTAAAAGTGTGGAAGTAGGATAATATTTACAGCTGTAGCGTATGCTTTCTGTTTTTCTGGATGAATATGTACGATGAATAATGGTGAATCAACTAATTCCGATAATTCCTGCACATTTATAATTGCATTTATTTTCATCTCTGTTTGCTGTTAATCTTTACGAATTTCATAGTTTCATTATTTCATAATTTCGCTCATTCTGATTTCGGAATCTTCTTTATTTTGGTGTCGACCATTCAGTAATTTATCAAATTCATCACAACGGCGACTGACATCGCGAGAAGATCGATTATTAGGATTGTTGTTTAAATTGTTTGTTGATATTATGTAAAATTTCATTGCGGTGTGGTTACAATTTGTAAAATGGATGAATGAATGGGTTATATTTTTAATTGTATGAACATGTAATTTGCATGATATGAGTTGTATACATCTGATTTACATAATGTGCGAAGGATTTGCATGCGAATTGTCTGTTTAACACTGGAATTATTGTTCGTTGTTCGTGGATTTTGAGTTCATCCGTGGAGGAACGTTGGTGATTGCTGTGAAGCGATTGAGTATAAAGATTATTTGTTGGTTTCGTGTTGGAAACTGAAAAATAGGAGAATTGATTGGATCGATTGAGGAGCAGTTGATTGGAGAGCCGCTGAATTTGAAGTGCAGCGGTCGAAATGTACTTAAATTCTCACTGAGTTCACTCATAGTGAGAATTTATTGCCGAAATGGGCAAAGTTGTTCCATTCAAAAGGATCTTAAGCTTGAATATCAAGTACATTTGCATGATTTTTGAACGAAATTATCAAATATGTAAGTGCTCGATGGTTCGGTGAAAATCCATTGCAGATGTTTTTCTATTTTTTAGATAAACTCTAAACTTTTAATTTTTTCGAAACTCGAATGATATAATTCATGCGATGCATTTTTTGGTAAAAAATCAAGATTTCCGAAGTGGCAGAATTCAGCTGATGTTAATATTGAGAGAAAATGGATTCGAAGCATTGCAAATAAGTGTTTGAAAATCAAGAATTTCATATTCACATGCAAGTGTACTGTTATTAGCTTAGACCCGAGATGACAAGATGCCTTAGCATAGAAAATGCAGTATGCCCTTGCGGCATGATCATTAGCAACATTATATGAAATATTAATTTGAATTTGAATGCTTAATTTCTTGGATTTGTTCAATAATTTGTTAAATTAGCTCTTTTCTGATTAATAATGAACATATTGATTCGAAAAAATGTGTCTAAACATGTTCCGCATCGATATTTCAATAATTGTTCGATCCCGGGATTATCCCGGGATCAAAAATCGATCCCGGGATTAAATCCCAATCCCGGGATTGAAAAATCGTCGGGATTTTTCAAACCCTAATCGTATCTTCTATTTCCTTCGTTGTTATATGATCCTAATTTCTCTTTGGCAGGACCCTTTACCCTTCAGAAATTCAGTTCAGTTACTCCCAGACCGACTTCCTCTCTTGGTCGGGAGTAATTACAGCAAGACAATCTGCGAATTCTGCAATGAAGGGAAAATGAACATTCGCATGCATTTTTTCTTCTTCAAGTGGTTTTGTAGGACCAACCATAACGCCTTGCGACCAGCAGCGTAAAATTGTTCTTTAATGAAGTTCAATTGAAGGATCTGCATTTTTAAATCATTTGTGAATTAGTTCTTATAATCTTATAAGTCTAATTAGTCAAAGTATTTTACTGCTGAAATTTTCTCACTTAAGAGCGATGCTCTTCAAGCACTTCAATCAATCAGTGTTCTTTTCTGGGAAACCGAACCCAACTAAGCGAATTGTGAGATATAGTAAATGATTTATTTGTTTCTGTTCAACACTTTCATTAGTCGATCATTCATCTGGAGGATGTGATTTAGCTGATGATACACTACTTTTGCTCACATTGTTTGCTTGCTATTTTTATTCAGAATACTCCATTCAACTGCCTTCTCTTTTCTGATGAATCTTCATTCCACTCATATAAATCCTATGCAGCCAAATCATTCATCTTGAATTCAAAAAATCACATCTGTGTACATTAATTCTTTTCCGATAGTTTTTTTAGGAATTCCTCCTCAAGCTACCAGTCATTGTGAGCAGCAACTCAACCAAGTACAATAAAGAATCCATATTGTAACTATAATCGAGCAACATTTCAATAATTTCATTTTCTCATTGCCACAGTATCACCAGTATGAAATATCAAATATTTTCCACAGCTGGTGAGATCATATAAACCAACCCAGAGCCCCTCAATTAAATTGAACCGATTAATAGACATTGCTAATCCATCGTGTGTTCGATTGATGATAGCAATGACTATTATGAAAGGATACTGATGATATTAATAGCAACAATAATAAAAATAATAATTTTAGCAATAGTAATTATCATAATAATAATAGCAATAATGATAATAATAGCAACAATGATAAAACCAAACAGCAATAATAATGACATTGATAATAATCACAGTAACAGTATCCGACTGGATGGTATTCTCGCAATTATTATTATGGTTATCAGGACTTGTTATATTGTATCCATCATGCTTATGACTCTGTCTGATTGCTTTTACTGATAAAACTTTTTTCTATCATTTGAATATTATATTGCTCATTGCTATGATGATGAATTGATTTGATATCGGAAATAATCAGTATAGAATGACTAAACATATACTGCACTCACTATCAGATACAATCCAGAAACAAACAAACCCTTATCGGTGAACCATGAACAGTGTTTTCACGTTTCTGTTCTAATAGCGAACGAACACCACTTTTACTCATTCGATTGATTTTTTTTTCAAAATTTTGTTAGAATTTGTGTGTTGCTGTGGTAATTTGATTGAAGTTGAACAATTTGTGTTGCTAAGTTTATATTCATTCATTTTCCTTCCAATCATTAGCAAATTATTTATGAAATGCGCAAAAAAATTAACTTTTACTTTTACTTTTACTTCAGTAAGTTTTCTGTGCCTTCATTCATCTCACTATCACATGAACTATGTCATTTAGCAACTAATTCATTCCACCCTCACGTATACAGGACTACACTTCTAACTTGAGAACATGTCGATAAAATAACCATCATTGTTTATCACTATAATTGTTTTAGTCGCGGTACACCAGTCGCTGTTGTTGTCCGCTACACGATTCGTGAATTAAGACTATTCGAGCGTTAGCAGCCGCAATTATTCAGTACATCCTCCTTCCTGTTGTTTATAGGTATCATTTTCAATCACACTTCTAGTATTACTGTTATTA